AACGCGACGCAGCGTCCCGCGATACGGATCGGGGATTTTCGATTTCGGTCACGTAAGTGTTGGCTGGGTCGCAAGCACACGGCCGGCCGCGTGGCTACGTGAAAGTCTTACGGGTAACGCGAAACTAAAGTTCGATCGAAAAAACCGCGAGCAGGGAAAAAGGAAAAGAGTGCGAGCGAATGGGTTCCCGTTGCTTTCACTCGGGCTTCGAGATAGAGCAGCCTTCGAGCGTGGCCGCAGCACGCGCGACTGGTTTATTGCATCTTAATAACTCGAGACCTTGCGCTAACCATCGGTAAGACGTCTATGCGAAATATCGAAACGGGATCGCTCGGCGTGCCCGTTTAATCAGCCGCGAGCATCCGCGGCGAGACGTCGCCACGAGGAAAACTCCGTTCCGAGACCGACCGACGTTCTTCCTCTTTCCGTCCGTCCGAGCAGGAAATTCGAAGCGTGCCAAACTGCGTCGCGGTGAACAGACTCGCGTCACGCGGATTTCCATCGCATGGAAATCTCGATGTTTCCGTGCGCTCGGTCGCGGCAAAATATTAGCTTTAGCTTTTAAGAGTATCCTCGAAAGCACGCGTGACCGTCTTCGCGAGATTTAACCAGTGAGTCAACGGTGTCGCGTACTTTTTCACCGATTACCGTCCCCGTAGATAAACGTTGCTTACGCAACGCGAGGCACGTAGCGAGAGCAACGGCGAACGATTCCGAGCCGAGTGTATCGCTGCCACGCGATAAATCCTATGACTGCTATCCGGGCCGACGAATCGATTAAGTGCCTCGAAAGGCGCTTATTATTCGGCCGGCGAAACGGTGGGCAAAAGGCGCGAGAAATCGCGAAGCGATCGCGTTACGAGATTGCGCGCCGTTCGTCAACGCTATTTATATCGGTTACGCCAACTTCCTCTCAAGGGGTAACGTTATCGTCCGACTGGCCTGCGTAAACAACATTTCGGAGACCTCTGTCGCGAAGAGACATCGGGATTGCGTGTGTCGTCTTCTCCATCGTCGCCGATCCTCTCTTCCGCGAAATCGCGAAGAATCCTTCGTGATCCAAGAACCGCGCGTCCCTCGATGGCTCACGGGCCCCGCTTAAATCCTAGACGCCGCAACCCGGAAGGAACCGGATCACTCGTTCCCCATAACGCGAGACGACCCTGAACCACGCTAGTTTGCGAGCGGAATACAGCGAGGCTCGAAACGAGAGTTTTCTAAAGGCGACGGCGACGACGACGAGACAAGCCTGGAGGGTTGAAATCGACGCTAGCGTGTCGGCCAGCTCGAATCAAGCGCAGACTCGATGGAGTCGCGTTGCCATAGGCCGGCATAGATATCGCGTTACCTCGGTGCACCGGCCTCGGCGTTAAGACACCTAATTGCACGTTATGTTCGACGCGCACGTACGCACACCAGCGAGCCCCTTACCGAATGGTAATGCTCTCTCGGTGGCCACCTTGGCAGACAGGAAAGTGGGTGAACCCTGCTCGGATTTGTGGCCAGCAGACCAGCCTATACGCGTTTCCCTCGTCTCTCTGCTCTCTCCCTTTTCTCCTCTTTCTCTCCAACTTGGCGTGTTGGCTTTCCACGCAGCGTCTCCTTCGGAGCGAATTTTACCGATCGCTCACGGTTCATTCCTCCCGGTTAATTTACTCGATCGTTCCCGAGCGTGGAATTTGGATTTTACCGCGTATGCAACCTGACGGAGACGCGGAAAGCGATTGGTGGGCTAGACGGCGGGAGAATTCGTAACGCGCGTTTCCCGTGCTCGCGAGTGCTGCTCCTCCTCCACGGCGATTCCGAGTCCTTTCGTGGAATTATGCCACGCGGAATACGCTCGTGGAGGAACATCGCGATTCTCACGGACTGTTCGGTGAGAAAAAGTGACACGCGAGGTTGCACGGTATAAATCCAGACGCGATCGATGTCCTCTTGGTAACCATTTCCGAGGACGTTCCGCTCTCGCGAATGGGACCAACGACTCGCCATCGATTTTTCCACTCGATACCGTGCAACCGAATTTCCCCGCCATCGAATAAATGCGAATTAATCGGTGGACGGTACGAGACCAAGGGGTATTCGATCGCGTTCCTCGAGGACGAGGCGCGCATTGCGGACCGCGACGTGGAAAAAATAGGTTTAACGTGGGAAAAGGATTATTGGGGACACGAATAGGCGGGACGAGCCTAGACGACGAACCGTGGTAGGATCGTTCGCTTCTGCGAGAAGTAACGACCCCGTTCAAGGGCGTCGTATGTACTGGGTTACGCGGGCCAAGGTCGACCCGATTACGTGTACACATGTCAAACGATGCTTTTTAAATAACCTTCTCCGCCTCGGTTTACTTCATCGACCGACGATAACCTCGTAAATCGAGACGCATTTGGCGCAGATGGCTACGCAATTTTTCCATTTTATTTTTTTTAACATACGCATCTGTCCTCGCTACCGCGCTGCTATATTCTCTTCGTGTGGCCACTTAACGATATTCAGATTGATTCGCAACGATACCTGATTATCGAGGAATGTCGCGCGGTGTTAAATAGGCATTTGCATAAATCTACTACGTAGACGATGTTCGGGTGTTAATTCCGGTTGGACGAGTGCGTTTGTAAACTCACGTTGATGTCGAAGATGTAACTGGACATACGCTGCACGCCGTTCATTTTCGCGAGACGCTCGTCTTGCTCGGCTTCCGCTGCCTCCTATGCTCCGCCGGTCACCTGTGGTCCTCGAAATGCCGCAACTTCCGCAACCACGCTCCACGGGATACGTGCGCTCGACGTACCAACCGCACGACACGCGACACAACGGCACGCGCGAGTCAAAAATTTAAACTCGTAGGAACTAGCAGTCGCTTCGACGCATCCCCGTACACGTGCGCGCGACGACTGAAAGACATCTGATCGTCTTTCCGACACTCGAATTCGAGCCGAGGGTTCGCGCACCGTTTTTGCACCTCGACCCGACCGGCGAAGGACAACCAACGACGCGATTAACGGCCGACCGAACGATCAATCGAGTTCGCGTTATTCCGAACAAGGGAAAACACCGTTTGCGAGGTCCCGATACAGGTTGACGTCGAAAAGCACCGATTATTTACGACCGTAACCTCACAGTTTGAGAATGTTGAAACGCGATTTCGTCGAAGCGACCGCGGAACGATGCGTGTACGCCCGAACGAGTCGCGAGAATAACAGCGGACGATGTACGTGATTGTTGGAATTGGAATTTTACTCCGAATCTCGAGCGTGTTAATTATCTCGTTTTGCCGGCGAAATGTTTATCGATTCCTGCGAGCAATCTGAAATTTGACGCTCCGTACATCCGGTAGCGTGTCATCGACGACACGCGAGAATCAACGCTCGCGATTATATGGACAAAACGCGCACCGTTTCGTGGAGAACCACGCTTCGCAGTCTGCGATAAGATATTTGAAACTCGCCGACTCGAGTACCGTGGTTCGCGCCTGCGCCGTGATATTTTCCTCGTCGCGTACCCTGGAACACGTGGTATCCTTCCAAGCACCGCCCCTTCCACCTTCACGCTAAATGCATAAAAGTTTCGGATATTTACAAACACGTAAAGAGCATTCGACCCGTCCAATGTATCAACGGCGAAGTGGACTGAAAATAAACGATCTTGACTTATGAAAGTTCGCGTTAGCTATGCATATTCCGTGCCGCGGAAAATGTCGTTCTCACGGTTAAAATTTCATCGGGTCGAACGTTAGAAAGAACTTCGACCAAAAGATACGACGTGTAGGTATCGCGAAGGCAGGCTACTCGAAAACTCGACGTGTTTCGTGTCCAAGGGGGAGAGAAACAGGTTTAAGAACCGTAGTTGACCGGTCGCCTTTTAAATCGGTCATCTGTCTAGCCGGTAGAAATTACGTCGATTTGAAATCAGGCACTCGTAGCCATGGGCTCGTAAGGAGTCGAAACTCACTGAAAAGCGAAATCAGTGGTAGAACCAGTAAATTGGAACGGATAAATTAAAAGGAAGATGAACGTGCTCGCGTTTGAACGACGCTTTCGTGACACCGAATAAGAAAGTGGACACGTTGCACTCGCGATCGGAGAAACGATACGTCGTGAATAGGCACATGGCAAGCATGTCCCTGCCGCAGGATTATACGTAGCAGCCGGCGTTCGGGCGCTCCGCGTCGCGACTGCCGGCGCGGCTAAAAAACCATACGATGACCTCATCACACGGAGTCTGTTCTCCTGCCCATGTCACTACTACTAGCCATTCTGAAAACATCGTAACTTCCACCGCCTCCTAGAGGTTAGTGCTCGCGTTATCGCTTATCTAGAATATCCTACCAGGACTCCAGGATATCAGGATACCGAGAAATTCCGCTTATTTTCCAATGTCTATGATGATTTTAAAAACACCCGCCGTTTCTTTGTAGCCTGATGCATTTGCAACGCGCGGACATCTGAAATGAAAAAGAGATATCGTTTAAAGCACTCGTCTCGTAAATACACAAAATTTATCAAACATTATTGCAAGCTTCTATTTCATACGAACTTACTCTTTCGATGTTATATCGCATTTTTGCGTAAAGGGAAATGCCACTTCTGAATAAGCGATATATTGGTCTACATGTATAGCCATATCGGAGAATCGTCAATTTTGTTCGTTTTTAAGCTACATCGACATATTATTGTTAGCTTTCTATGCTACAATTACCGTTACATTTGTAATTAGAATTGTATAAATAAATATATGCTTTGAATGTTATATCCAAATCAAAATGGAGTAGTATAGCAGCGCCATGTGCGGATGTGTCCGCAGTGGTGTAATGTGTTTCTCATGAATAAAAGAGAATGAAGTAATTTGCTCCAAAACATGTTCGATGAAATTTTTTATTATAATGCCGCGTTTCTTTATCCATATTCGCGTAATTTGATAAAGAACATTTTATTAATGGGAAACTTATGTTTAGTGTGTTTGTTAAAGGTTATGCGCGTTGTACTGTGCTAAAACATTATTGTAATACCTTTTGTAAACACTGTTGTATTGAAAATCTATTTGCGTATTTGAATATATTTATAAATAAAATTGCTTATCTTTTTATCGATAAGAAAGATATACTTGATTTTAATCATTAATTCAATCGTAAAATTAATTATGGCTTCTGACAAATCTGGCAACGCAAGTAATTCGCATCCATCGAATGTTCAAATAAAAGTAGAACCTGGAACATCTATGCCTGTACCTGTAAAAAACATTAAAACAGAACCCGGTTTATCTACTACGACGAGATTAACCTCTTTTCGTCTACCAAGAGACCTAACATTGGGAGGTAACATTAAGACTGAGAAACCGAAGAAAGTATATATACCAAATTTAAATGCCCAGAGAACAAAGAAGAAGGAGTAAGTGAATTTCATAACACAAATTAATGATCGAATTTCCAAATTAAATGAATGATACTTATCCTCTAGAGACGGGATACAAAATGATTCTGGAAAATCAAGTAGAGGTAGAGACCATAATAGAGGACGTGGTAGAGGCGGTGCAGATAGAGGTCATGACAGAGGACGTGGAAGAGGATCTAGCAATTTGATTCAAGTAAATTAAATATATCTCTCTAACAAGTTTCTCCGATGTTATATTACAAACATTTTATATAAAATCTATTGCAGTCTAGTGGTGTCTGGTCTACTGGAATAACAAGTACACCAGCAAAACGCTACAGCAGTGGTTCTAGTGAGAGTGATAGAAGTTCTCAAGTCTGTCTAGAAAAACCAAAATTAAATTTGAACCATAGCATTGATAAAGTTGAAGAGGAAGAAAAAGTAAAGCAATTAATAAGAGATGACTTTATCGATGATGGAGAACCTGTGAATCTAGATAATTGTCCTGTTATATTGCCAATGAAAAAAGAAGGTTTTTATTACCTGTTAAAATATTAATATTTATTCTAATAAAAAACTTTGCTTTAATGGTCTCTTTCACATTATAGCAAAGCTGTATGAGGAAGAAACTAAAGTTAAACTAGAACAAGAAGAAGAAGAGGTAGATAGAAAACCAATTATTCTGGAAAATGGAGATGGTAAGCATGATTCTTTCTCTTTACTGGTATTTTATGATAATTAGTATTACTTTTAGTATTACCGCCAAAGAAGGAATCTAAATTTAAAATACCTAAATTGGCAACAGAGGTAAAAGATGAATTTTCAGAGAGCCTTCCTAAGATTATTGAAAATAAAGCAAACTCGTATATCTTAATGCAGGTAAAGATTTCTATCGAAAGTAATATATGTAATGTACGTTAATTTTTATACATAATAGATTAAACTACGAATAAATTAGTTTCCAGATTGTTTGCCAGGTTTAGAAGGAAGTGCAGAAGACACTAGACCAAATCGATCAAACACTGCAAATTACGAGAAAGAGAATGAAACTAAATCCGAAACGGAATTTTGTACATTAAATAGTCTAAAACATGGTGTTCTAGGTAAATTACAAATTTTGAAATCAGGCAAAGCGCGCTTATTATTAGGAGAAAATAATTTAATCGTTGATGTTGGGTCGCATCCTAGTTTTCGGCAAGTACGTATTCGAAATAAATGAAGATATCAAAAAGATGATACAACTGTAATAATAACTTATATTACAGGATCTAATTGCAGCGAAAGTGGACACCGAAGCTTCAAGTGGTGATTTAATTAATTTAGGTCCAGTGCGTAATACGCTTATATGCTCGCCTGATTGGGAATCAATGTTAATCAAATTGTAAATTTATACAAATTATAAATTGTAATATAAATAGATTTATTAAATGTTCTGTATTATGTAGAACATATAAATTGATGAATCATGTATTATATAAAATATAAAATGCGCTTTTCTTTGAAAATCATATATTTTCATTACTACACTATACGTGAAGCTTTTATCACGCACAAATTCAGTAGTAATCCATAAATCTAAATAAATTTATATTAATTATATATTTATGTGAATGAATATCGTGATAAGAGGGTGTGGTGATTTCTTATAAGGTATGTAATATTTCTCTTGAAGACGCAATTTATTCTTTTGACTTAAAATGAAAAATTATTTTTACACAAATTAGATGTACAAACGAATTCCATCGCTGTATAAAATCAACATTAATTCGTGAACTTATAAACTACGAAAGGATACTATATTTTTGCTCAGTTGTGTCAACTTTGAAAAATGTAAAAATCGTACATTAAAGTGGCACAAAAAATTACTGTTCCTATGGTAGTAACACGCACTACTCTTGTTCACTAATTTAAAAGAACAACTATTGCGTTTAACTTCGTAATCTTAATGTTTAGGGTCATAAAAATTAGGTTCCTTCGCCTAAAAGACGAATCTGTTTAGTAATGTCAGACTTGTTTTACACAAAAAGTGTGACACGATAAATTCCTACTTATCGATAATAATAAACAGAAACGTATTCGTGATACAATTAGAGCAAGTGCATTGTAATACAGAGGTACACACACGTGACACACCCTCATTAATAAATCACACAAATCTTCAATCACTTCCCTCTATACTATGTCCTTTCTTCATTGATTTTAATGCTTTCTCACGAAGCTTTTTTTCTAGTTCTTCTGTATTACCTTCACTTACATCAGATTCGTCAGAATCCGCAACCTTCTTTTTTTTGTGTTTCCTATGTTTTTTATGTTTCTTATGTTTTTTGTGTTTTTTATCCTTTTTCTTTTTCTTTTCTTCTATTTCACTTTCCTAAAAATACAAATTTCAAATAGAAAAAAATTATTTATGATCGTATGAAAAATTATGATCATCGTCATATATGTATATATAAAATCAATAAAATATAGAATTACCTCTGATTCACTGGTACTGGTTTTAGTTTTCTTTTTACGTTTTTTCTTCACTTTTTCTTCATCTGAACTATCATCTGCTTTTCTTTTTTTCTTTGCATCTTTCTCCCCAATTTCCTCGTCATCTGTACTAGAATCTCGTTTTGACTTTTTCAGTCGCACTTTTCCTTCATCTTCGCTTGTAGAATCCTTTCTTGACTTTCTCGTCCGTGATTTTTCATCTTCCGAAGAACTATCTCTCCGCTTTCGCGTCTTTTTTGGTTCATCATCTGAACTTGAATCCTTTTTGGACTTTCGTAATCTGGATCTATCATCTTCAACCTTATTTCTCTTTACTTTCTGATCCTCGTCTCCCGAAGAAGAATCTTTCCTAGACCTTTTTGACTTCTTTGTTTCCTCTTCCAACTCTTTTTTCGACCGTTTACGAGATTCGTTTTCATTGATTTCCCGTTTTCTACTATCTTTCCTGTCTTTTGTACGTTCATCTAATGAATCTGAGAAAATAATCAGAATTTTTTAAAATTAGAATCAATATTAGCAAATTAAGATAATTGAAATTTACCTCCTCGGTTAGAGTCTCTGATCTTTTTACTTTTTTCTACATGCTTTCTTTCTTCTTCAGAATCCGAACTGGAACCACATTTGTCAGATTTCTCATCATCCGTAGAAGTTTTCCTGGATTTCCTAGACTTCTCCAATTTTCTTGGCCTTTTCTTTCCTGTGACAGAAAAAGAACGTAAAAAGATATATTAAAGTAAAGAAACAACCACGATACGTGCTTGTTTAATTTTTTTCTCTACCTTCGCTTTCACTGTCATTTGAATCGGTAGAACCATCGCGTTTTTCCCTCTTTGATTTCTTTAGCACGTCTGCCGGTTTCTTTAAGAGAACTGGCTCTGACGACTTTTGACCTGACTTTTTGTCCTCCGATGCCGTCTTGATCGATTTAATTGACTTATCATCTTTTTTCAGCGGGAAAGTATCTCCAGATGAAAAGCTTGATTCTTCTTTCGGTGATCCTTCTTTGTTATCTTCTCTATAAACAGATACAAGCAATAAACGTGTGCATTAAATGACTTTTTACGTATATTAAAATGTATCTAACTATATTTAAACCTACTTTGATGGTTGTTTAATTTTAACCGCAGCTATTATATCCTCAGTCTTTTTGAACGGAGACGGTGTTCTAGACAAGCTTTTTGAAAACTAGAATAAGAAAAAAGAATAATGATAAAAATGATAATGGTTTATAAAGACAGAAAAATATTTAAAGCATAAATAAATGTCATTAAACTTACCCTGTGCCTAGTTACAGGAAGTGTAGCCGATTGAAGCTTTTTAGGAGAAACACTAGGATCTGGTTTCTTGATGTTCACTGGTTCAGCTTTTTTGACGTCCTTTTCAGGCCGTTTGACCGATTCCTCTTTAACAGGCTTCTCCTTTTCTTTACGTTTGTCATCTACGTGCTCTCGCTCCCTCTCGCGATCTCGTTTTTCTTGAGATGATTTTCGCTCAAGTGACTTTCTGCACACAGACAGCGAAAAATATTATTATAGAAAATAAGAATACTTGTTCACTGCTAAGCAGGAAACACAACATAGCTGCTTTACGCTCCAACAATCGTAAGGTCTGTAACAAAACACGAATGTATGAGATAATTTGATTACTCACCTGATCACTTCATCCTCATTGCTAGAGGAACTACTTTCGCTACTTTCCGAGCTACTTGACTTAGACCTTCCGTTTCGCAATTCTTTTCGCGATCCCGTATCAGTTGATCTCTTAACTTTTTCATCCACTTTCTTGTCCTTCATCTTCTCCTTAGCATCTCTTGAGCGATCGGGAGATCGTTTTCCATCTCTCGAACGATCCACCGATGACCTTTGATCTTTCGATCTGGATCTACGATCTCTAGACCTAGATCTTCTATCTCTATCCCTTCTGTCCCTGTCTCTGGAACGGTCCCGCCTACTCGATCTGTCACGAGAGGAAGATCTATCGTACCTGATGGATCGGTCCCGTCCGTCTGGTGAACGACGTCTGCTGTCGCGACGATCTGGAGATCGACGTCTGTCTCTTCTTTCCGATGATCTTCGTCTTCGATCAAGGGATCTTCTTCGACGCCTGTCCCCAGGACTTGGTGATCTGCGGCGGTATCTTGCCGGACTTCTACGAGGAGGGCTTCTATGACAATTACAGTTTTGCCGATATCAATGATATTTATTTACACGAAACGATTGATTACTGATAAATATAAAGTTTATTTTACCTTCGCCTGCTAGGTGCTCTACGCACGGATGGAGGTCGCATGCTGCGACTACCACTATATCTGTCCAATCTCTCCCGTTCTCTTTCCCGCTCCCGTTCTCTTCTTCTTTCTCGTTCCCTATCTATGGACCTCCTAAAACAAAATTAATTTACAAGTCAGATTACTCCAATAAATACCAATAATGTAAAAATATTTCTCTCCATATACTCACCTTCTATTCCTATCTCGAGATCTATCCCGAGACCTATCTCGCGATCTATCCCGTGATCTATCCCGCGATCTATCTCTGTCCTTAGACCGACCTCTGTCTTTTCGTGGTGTCGGACTTCTTCGTTTAGGAACAGATTTTCTTTCTCGGCTCGAGTCGCTGTCACTGCCACTATCATCTTTGTTTGTTTTTCTATACGATCTTTTTGCCTGTACTCCATCCTTCTTCTTTCTAATTTCGAAGTCATTTTTATCTTTCGCCCCTTTATCTTCCTCCGATTCGGAACTACTGCTTGTACTTGCATCTCGTTTCCTGTTGGAATCGAGATTATCCTTTCTCTTATCAGGTGACTTTGAACGAGACTTTGATGACCTTGAATCGCTCGAATCGGACCTCGATTTTCTAGACTTACTTCTGTCGTTGCTTTTCGATCTTGACTTTTTAGATCGTGAACGAGATCTTGAATGCGACCTTGGCGACTTAGACTTCGTACGTCTCGATTTCGAGCGATCCTGCGACCTGGATTTCGATCTTCTAGATTTTGACCTCGACCTGGATCGTCTTGTTCTTGATTTAGATCGAGATCGTCTCGACTTGGATGCAGGTGATCGAGAACGACGTGTTTTCGAATCTCGACTTGGTGATTTTGATCTAGATTTTTTGGAGCGACTTATAGGCGACTTTGATCTCGATCTAGACTTCTTTGCTTTTTCTAATGATTCGGGAGATGGAGTACGATTGTTTTTCTTTTTTCCGTCAGCTATGCTCATTAGTTTAGCTTGTAGTCGAGATATTGCAACCGCAGCTTCCCTATTGAAACACCTTAATAAATAATCTAAAAGTCTACTTAAAGCAACAAAGTATAAATACTTACGGTTTAGTTTTAACAGGCATAAGTGGTATAGCATTTTCAGGTTGAGGTGAATCTTCTCGTTCCACTTTAATTTCTGACATATCTTTTCCGTTGTCTTTAAGTGAATTCTTACTAGGCGATCTCGAAGAAGATCGTCGTTTGCGACTCGATCTATCACGATCTCGGTGTCGATCTCTCGATCGACTTCTTTTTCTACAAGCAGTGACACAGATTCTTAGAGTATCTGTAATATTGTACTACAGCATATTTACTCCTTTAAACAAATACCTGTCTCGATCACGATCTCTACTTCGATCTCTACGGCGCTCTTTCGACGAGCCCCGTTCTTTTTCTTCTTTCTTTATCTTGCTTTCTGCTTCATCTTTCTCCTTTTCCCTTTCCTTTTCCTTTTCTTTCTCCGCCAAAGAAGCTTGGAGTTTTTCTTGCTCTTCCTGATTTCATAAATCACTTATTTGTATATAAACACAAAAGGTCTAAACTGAATTGCATGCATCAGAAGCATTCATTCAATTGAACATTTTATGAATGTCAAAATCTAGTTATTCAATTGTTGTACCATTATCAGATTAATTCACTCGGTAACATTAAAGAATAAAACGACGAAAAAAACTGATAATTACCAAACGTTTCTTAATTTGATCTTTTTTTTGTTGCAAGAAAGCCTCTGGAATGCCCGTTACACTTTCTTGAGCAGAGACCAAAAGGTCCCATAATTCACCCATGAAAGATCGGGCATTCCTTCCATTCAAGAAGCCTGTGAGGTTGATCTGCATTTTTCGGGGGTCAGGAAACTGTAAAATATACAGTGTGTCTTTTACTTTTTCATACATATAATTTGAAATTGTTGTCATGATCAAACATTCAAAGTTCAGATCTATAAAATTTTGACGCGAGAATCAAAATAATAATATCCATCTCCCTACGTTGATACTAACTGCTTTTCCCCCTCGAAAAAGCAGATATATATTTTTTACATTTTTGATATACCTTACCATCGACAGTAAACTGCTCGTTTCACGTCTGTACTAATATGCAATATGCTAGGGAAAAAAATTGTATTATACTCATCGATAAACGCACAAGTAGCACAGATACATTGATACCTTCTCAATTTAATAATACCGCTAAAGTAGATGCTGAAATGGGATTTAGAAATATGTGTTGAAAGTATTAGCTGAAAATGCAAGGATTAATTTGGAATAGAAGGAACACCGTTCCACCAACCTGTGATGTTGACAAAGAGTGTCAAACGTGTAGCGATACCTCCGGCATCGTCCACGAGTCAATCGCATCTGAGATTGACTGTGTGTCTGGAGAATCATTAACTGGAGAACAGACCTGCACGACGTAATGATCCTCGATTCCTCAGGATGTTGTTGGAAGGCACGAAGAATGAGGCAACCTGCATCTCTGAAGGATCAGCCATGTCGATGTCTTAGTGGGGCGACCACAGCATCTGGGCAGACAGCGTGTTGATGCTCCCTTGCTTCAACTCGAAGTGCCGATTGTCAGTGGATGTCCAATGGTCGAAAGCCGCAACGCAGCTTTCGCAGTCGTCATTTTGGAGCGTAACTACCTCGAACGAGGCAGTCACGAGTTTGCGAAGACGGCGGTCAACGCAGCTAGTAGACGCAGTTACAGCAACGAAGACACATCTGCAGAATGGTAGAAGGCAGCAGGCAGAGCTCCATAGAAAGGTGAGAAGAGCAGGAACAGGATGATGCGACGAGATTATTGCAAATACGCCGTTTCTCCAGTGACGATGAATCGATGGTGGACGAACTGCTGAGGTTGAAGTTTCAGCAGTGTTCTAAGGTGACGTTGACATACCAGCTGGCATCAGCTAGCGTTGACGGCTGATAGAAAGGCGGCCAATCGGATGCAGAGAGGAGCACATCCGAATGCCATTTGGACAATAGGGTTGAGCCCCACCAACGGTCTCTACTTATACTAACGGGGAATTCAAACATACGTGATAAAACATTGATTTTACATGTTACAGTGTTGCAGGATCAGCTACATCAGTTTTTCTTTTGTTGATATGGGATATAGCTTGGAGTGGGTTCTTAAGGTCAATAAAAATAGGATACCCAGGATATACAGGTTCAATGATATATTATCAAAATTTAAAAAAAAAAGAAAACAATGAGGCAAACAATGAGTAATATGGTTTCTGCCTCCTTGCTTTTCATCTCCAAAGTCAGCACATTGTGCAGATTTTGGATGATGGCATTTGTAACTGCTACAAAACATTGTGCTGAAATAATGTGTATTTATCGATTTCCTATGATGAGGGGAAAAAGCCAAGTGAACGCATTTTATATTCCATATTAATAATTTACAATCTCTTAGATCTAATCAGAATTAAACTGATAGCGTAACAAATTTCTTACCTTTTCTTCCAGTTGATTATATACAAATTCTACCACTACATCATCCTCCATGCCTAAAATCTGCGTAATCTTTGTAGTTATCCATGGTTTAATAACGTCCAGTTTAACTTTGCTCATATCCACCTAAGAATTAATTTGGCATGAACATAAAAATTAGAAGCAATCGGTGTAATCAAATATAAAGCGACATAATTAAATTATGTCGTATACAACAATGTAGTGTAATTGAAGTATTTGCATTATTTGAATTATAAATATTTACTTTTTGCGTAAGAGAATCCCCAAACTTCATTTGTTTAAGAAGTTTCTTCTCTTTATCGCTGAACCTCGTGTCCTGCGACGCGGTAGTCCCCTGTAATTCGATAATTGAAACATAAAAAATAACAAGAGATCAAAAGTAACAACTTAATTGAATTTAAACGGCACAGCAGATTGTTTTCTCTTTCTTAATAAACGTTTTAGCAAATTTACCGTGTACATCATTTTGGTAACGTGCAAAAAGCAAAAGTCGCACGATGTTCGATGTTAACTGGCGATGTTCCAATCCTCCTTTCCAACAGCGAGTGGGAAACAATAAGTCAGAAAAAGACTTTATTAAATTCTGCGTTTTTTCTTATTCGCGAAACTTCATACAATTTTGTATATACAAATATCGAACGTTAGAATGGAGTACATACGAACGCGGACGCACAATAGATCAATCCGCCAACATGGCGACCGTATCGCTACAACAGGAAGTTGAAGTTGCTTGGCAATAGACAGTGTTACCACCATTGGTAAGTGTTACCAACATTTCCGTACGTCATATCACTATTTGTTGGCACGATTTCAGTTTTGCAATTATGTTCTAATATTTACGCAATTCGTTATCGTAACATAATGTAACAAAGATTATATCTTACGAACAATTAATCGTAGCAATACCTCGATTTTAAAAAGTGAAAAACTAATGAATAGTTAAAAAAGAAAGTATAATTTTCGTGATTTCCGTAGAGAAAATTTTCCCCGAGTTTTCAAGTGGATGAGGGAATGATTCAAGTAGTCGTTTCAAAAACAGCGGATGGATGTTCTTCTACGCATACATATGCGCTACTTTCCCGGTTATCGGGGTTAGTTGCGCATATATTTTTAGTACCGAAAATAGACTTCGAGGTATGTATTTATACTTGTTTCTGGTTTCTCTCTTTTAACCAAATCGCATTAACATATAAAGTAAAAGAAATTGCGTTTCGGGTTTTCTGAAAAATGAGAAAACAAGAGGAGCGGGATAAAAATTGAAGGAAAGCTTCATTTACAGAATGCGACGTAATCTAGTAATAAATTATAAATATATACTTGCATATTACAACTATAGATACAAAAGATGACATGCGATATGAAAAGATTGTTCGTTGCACGTGTAACATTCCGGCGTGTATTTATCACTTTCCCCGTCCGGCACTGGCACAGAACGTTGACATGCGTATTCGTAGTTGTATTCATTTCTTTTTTTTCGTTTTCTTTTCCTGTTACGACTGATCTGCAAATTGTCAACGAAATTTCGACAGTTTTCGTTAGAAGGTTAATAAGAATTAAATACCATTAATGTAACATACGAAAATTGTTCAATAGCCGGTTTGAAATGTATGAATTTTGAAATTACTACAACGTCCTTCTATTTCTAATTGCATAGGAAAATCACGAACATCGTAGAGAATTATTACCCGATCAAAGGAAAATAATGGAGGACTCGATGATTAAGTGGCGCGGCATGAATGAGCGGCACGGTCAGCTACTTTTGGGCGCTGCATGGATCTCGCCTATGAAATAACCAAGTGAAGTAAATCGAGGTGAAGGGTCCCGCAAAGCGGGTAACGGTACATTATACTCATCGGAATTCATGGTACGGTCCATTCGTACTGCGACTGCACGTCCATCCTGTTTGGCGGTACGATTCCAATGCGAGCTTTCAGAGTCCGGTTCTGAGAAGCATAAACGGGCCAGTGGCGTGTCTTAGCAGCGATTCAACCGACACTAATACGGGAATAAGAACGTTTCTTCCAGGGATCTCGCTTTGTATAGCAATGGAAATCGCGAGTCTTCGCATTTCCCGACATTCTGCCACAACGGAATTATTTTCACATTATGCACAGGGAGGAGAATTTTGTTCCTAATGAACGTATTGCAGAGTTTTAATATGTGGGGGAAAACAAGTGGAAACCGGAACTTTCGTTCGCTTAATGACTACTCGGACCAATTAATCATCAGCGTTTTGCACTAACACATGCAAATGAATTCATCATGAATTCCAGGAGATTATCTTATAACAAACGAAACAGAACGGGCGTATAACGATGCTGAGCGCTTGTCGAAGAGTTGGAGAACGCATTAACAATATCTCTGCCCCGTTACGACGCAGTCGAGCTGAATGATATAATTTTATGATATCTTTTAGAAGAATTTCTCGCCGATGCTTCTCGCGGAGCACTGTTACAAGTTGTTCTATACACCTGCTTGAAACCGGCTCGCGGGCAGGTCTAGTGAACTCGATCGGATTCCGAGACCGGATTCCGCGAAACGACCGCCGCTGCTCCGATTTGTTTTTTCACGCTGAAATAACTTCTTCTAACTTATTTTCTCCATTTTTCTTTTTTTTCTCTTTTTTATGTATAACACCGAGGAAAAGAAGGATAAAAGAACCGCGCCACTGTTCGACCGTGAAGCATGCCTAATTGCTGATGTTTCTTTGAAGCCGTCCCCTTTTGCAAGCAGACCGACGAGAGTACAAGACAGTTTGCGGATCAGCGATGTCTACGATCGAATGACTGCCGATGTACGTCTGGATTCCCGTTGCGAATGATCTATGATAGAAGAGTCTTCATTTCGATGCCTAAATTGTCTATGCGTTGACCCGAAGCTACCAAGAATTTCGCAAGAAACTCGAGATCGCAACTAGAGGAATCTTCAGCTTTAATTGAGAAAGCTGTCCCCCTTAGAAATCGCGACGTGATGCCTCGGACAAAGTAAAGAAACTGATCGGTCCATGGTAAAAGTTACCACCCCGTTGTGCAAGAGAGACGCGTTGCGTTCGCAGGGAAAATTGTTCATATTCCAGATTTCTCCCGAGAAATCAATTCTCTAGCGACTTCAATACTGGTTTCAGCATTCTTTGCTAGCTCCGTCAAAGAGGTTACTAGGTTCCTCGGCGAGGTTATTCGAGCTTGGGGTCACCTTCCACCGATTCGTCGCGTTCGACGCGGATCTCGAGCTGTATCCTCCAACGCAGAGCTGTACCGCTGCGCTCGATGTCGATCGCTAGAGTTCGACGAACGTTTAAAAGCTTGGAACGGCCGGGGGCTCCGACGTGGCGCTCGCCGAATTTCTCGGCTTGCACACGCAACCGCTTTCGACCAGAACGTAATCTTGACCGGTCAAGGTCACCGGCCCAAGCGGAATCACCAGAAACAGGTACGGGACGTATGTCTGCGTGCATTCACCGTGGACCACGTCGCACTCTTTTGACCTGGAACAATGCGTTGATATTTGTATGCTATGCACTATGCCACAGGGAGAGCATTCCATCGGGTTGACGGAGAGAGAAAGAGGCAAGCCAAGATTCAGGATTCCTGGCAATTTACTCTTGGCCTGTGATACATCGTTACTTGGTAATCAAGTGGGTAAATACCGGTCCAAAAAGGCTTTAAAAGTAGGCTTCGTCTTGGCCAGACCTGCTCGGCCCACTGTGCTACATTCGAATCGGTGCAACTTACCAGTAGGTCTCGTTGAATTTCAATCGAACTCGTATCGCATGTATTTACAAATCACGACCAAACGTGCTAAGAAAGTAACAGTGGATAACGATCAGGCCTTGCCTCGATTTAATACTCACTCGCAAACTTCGAACACGACCTGCTGCAAAAGATCGGGGAACTTTTGCACGATCGTTACAGGTTGGCCGCTGGTTAAGCTGACTCCGTACATAGGCGCCGTGGTGTTATACCTTGTTTTGCATAATCTGGCCGGCGATCCGCATGTCTCCTTCGGGGAAAATGCTCTACCTGCAAACAAACATACCGTCCCATATAAAACAGGTAATTTATTGACATTTAGATCAGTAGTTCTGGCAGTTCTATTTGCCGCGGTGACCTAGAAACTCTGCAGCTTCTTTGCCCAACCCGTGCAAATGGACTTATACTCGGGAAAAATCGTGCGAAACGATTCACCACGGTTACTCGCAAAAAAGCGAAAAGAATTGGAAAAACGATCTCGGTAACGAGCACGAAGAAAAAGGTAACTTGTTTACGACATTGGCGCCCTTTCTTTGGAATTCTGTTCGTTCGTGTGTTCGAAACGACGAGTGGGTCGCCGGTGTCCCGTTATGAGCAGAACCAGCGATAACTGTATTGGCCGGATAACACGGTGCCTTATTACCGTCCTCCTGTACCAGCGAGCCATTATCTAAAGAAAGGAGTAATCGATTCCGGTAAACGATATCTCTCGGGCAGAGGCTAATGGATTTTTCGCGAGCACGAACGATAATCGTGATCTGACGAGCCACGAATTTCAACGGAATCTATCGAGCAAACTCGCGCAGCGGGTGTTGTGCATGGTTGGAATCGGGTTTTCGTGTCATAAGGACAACTGCATAATTCAAGGCTGTAAAGTGCCGGTACATCGCGCAACCGGTTGCTCTGATTTTTGTGGATTTTTTTAGTACGCTTCCGATGTCAAAAACGACTTCGAGGATGCTTCGCGATCGATCACGAGGCTGAACAATTTTCTTCAGACACCCGGTAAACGCTAATGTAACCTGGAAATAATCACGCATCTCAGACGTCGGATAGTTTTTATCGCTGGCATAAAAGTCGCACGACAGGAATTGTCCAAAGGAAGCGGTACTTTTTACAAAAACGCACGTTCTATCGTAAACATCTAAGAATATTAATCGAGATAACGGTCGAACGAGAAAATAATGTTTGCATATTACCAGGTGCGGCACAATAACCTCGTAAAGCGCACGTGAACGTTTGATAACACCCCGAAGGAGCAAGTGGAATAATTATGAGTTAATATCCGCCAGCAGGATATCGTGTACACATTGTTATACATATACGCGAAGGATCAATCGCGAGATAAATGAATTACGGAGGTTCGACGAGGATGTAGGTTATAGCTACTCGTAATTATTCGTGATTCAGGTAACCGGCTCGACTACTGTTGCGCTTCGAACAAGAGGGACAAGTTCGTCTTCCGCGTGTTTCCAAGCAAGCCACGTCCTCTGCTCGATCGTGATCCGTTAAACTTGCGTTTCGCGGCTGAATAGGAAACGTAGTTGTTTCCAAAACACGTTTCGAATGTAATCGTGAATTTCTCTGAGCGTAGCGGAAGGTCCTAATCTACTTTCCATGTAAAAGCAAGGATCTGTTGGCGAACTTACCATTCCGCGAGGATTCCGCGATCGAGTAATCTCCATGAGCGATCTTGTAATTGTGCAGCAGCGCCTGCCTCGTTAATTCAGGGTCGATCATTCGAGACTGATGAGACCTCGCCATTCGACTGCCCGCCCAAAGATTCTTGTAACTCCTCGATATCGCCGCTCTGCGGCAGTCGTTCGTTTTGATAACGGTATCGCGAGTAAAGCGGACATCTTACAAATTCCAACCGAGAACCTTATAAGAGAACACTTACGACGGGTACTGCATGTTATTTGGCCCTACGCAATCAGCTGGGTCCAGGAGCGCGTCTCCCCACACGTATTTCAAGCCCATCCCGTTCCCCTCGCATTTTTTGGCTCCGTACACGTGGGCACATGTCGTGATAACGAGAATCAGACCGAGGTACCTGGACATCTGAAATTACAAGAAAAGCCATGAGAATGACAAGCTTCGACGGACTAAACGAATTCGCTAATTCTGATTTAGGAACAATCGAGCAGTTCAATCGAAGAACTAGGATGGTCGCATTGCAACGACAATGACAATTTGTGCAGCGTAGAACGAAAGCGTGGAAATAGACAGATGGTCTCACGTATCGAGAGCCGTTGCAGAAACACGTATATTAATGAAAGCTAATTACGTTGGCGAGCAACATCTCATGAATAAAACAATCGCGAGTAGCGTTCGACTAGGTCCCGTGCAATAGAACACGTTGTCACCGCGACAAAGGAAGGTGTGAGTGAGCGCGGTCTTGGAACTCGAGTTCGCACGAGGTCAAGAGCAAAAGTAAACGACACTGGCTCTGGACTGTGACGTGTCGTATAAAAATCCACCTAATGGTGCTTCGCATATCGACCCAACTCTTCTTCTACCTGTACTTCTCATCGCCGACACGCGTGTAATCATGGTATACACAGCGGCACACTTTTGCGTTATTATTCTATAATTCCGTGAACGTTTGACGATTAGTTTCCAGTCGTTATGATCATCTGCTTCTGCAACTTCGCCGGGAGAGCTTTCGTTCCACGGGCTGGTAACGCGAACAGCCACGATGGCAAAGAAACGAGCAAACTTTTTTCCCTTTCGAGCCTCACGAACGATGAAAATCGTCCAGACGACGCGAGAGAGTGACGACCGTGCGCAATTAAGAATAACAATTAGCGAGCGTGCGTAACCAATATGAAACCACGTATAGAGTTTGGGGTTTCTAGGTTGCCAGGTCCATATAACTTCCGCTATATGTGTTTCTCGTCGTCAATCAAACACGAGTGAAAGCAACACGATAGTGTACTGCTAATAGCACTCAGTTTCGAGTACTTAGTAAGCTACGCGGCGACATTGTACACGAGCATCGACGTGCAATCTAGTTTTTGGTCATTCGACCAGTGGATTCGACGATTCAAAGTCGAGAAGAAAAATCAACGTGGCAGAAAATTGCGGTCTGCTGTTTAGCCAAGTGATAAATTGCGCGTGGGAAAAGGAAAGGAAGAAAATCATTAATGGGTAGCACTCAAGGCTGGTCATTGGCCGTGACTAGTATCGCGCATCTATTTCTTCAGGAAGCATTGCCCACTTTTAACATTCGTTCTTTCTACACCGTAGGGAACATAACTGAGACGTGGTCATAATTCATTCGCCGGGAGTAATATCTCCTATATTTATATTATCTCGTCTGAGTCGGCTACGTTGATTATTTCGTGACTAGAAATCGCAGTGCACGTTCATTTTTGCCCGTCAGTCGATTAGAAGCGGTGCAAAAGAAACGTAAGCGCGGATTTGTCGGTTATTCGGTCTTTCCTGGTTCTCCATTGATCGGGTAATCACACGCGAGTCACGGTGCTTCAGCGCCGAAGCTTTTCGAACAAGTCGGCCACCACGCGGTATAATTGCTGCGTGATATTGATCGCGCGATAAAGGCGTTCGAATAAGTATCTATGGGATACCATGGTCGCGTCTTAGTGGATTACATAACGGCGTTCCTGCGAAAAAGATGAGACCGAGTCGAGAAAGACGTGAGAATCAGCTGAACTTGGAAGATCGAGGTCTTCCACGGGTTCGCGCATTCGCCGGTAATTTAGGATCAGCAATAACTTCTCACGTCGTTAGGAGCTTTTTTTCCCAGTAGTCGTGGAGCGAGTACTGTTAATATGCTAACACGGCGCGAAAATAATTAACAAGCTATCTCCGATCGTGGAAACAGTCGGTCGAATTGAAACGGAGCTTGTCTAGGCAGAGCTGTGAATCAACTTCGAGGAAGTTGCAGCGATTAGACGTAATACGAGAATTGGTAGGTGAAACAGAGTGGACGAAACACGACGAAGGATAAAAGCTTTAAAAGAACTGAACTTCCGGCAGTCAGCATAGGATTCCTCGTGGACCATGAGCGTGTCATGCGGTTGGTTCTAACGGTAAAGATGAATCGTCCAAAACGCTCGGTCGCTCTTTATCGAGTATACATTTACTCATCCTTGGTCTCCGTTAACGGTACAATCATTTCGGTGTTTCGTATCATGAATAAATTATTATAACTGTCGGGGCTTGTTACGTATTTGAAATTCCTCTTCTCCAGCCTCCGCATTTATCGCGAAGATTTCATAGTCAGGGACTCATTATCGCTTTCACGTGACATAGCACAGGCTCTAGTAAATCGTCGAGTATTCGATGGCGATTTAAGTCCCATGGGTTTGTACAGTGTGCGATTATTCTTTCTCTTTTCATCGTGACGAGAGCAATGTACTTGATGATGAAAGAGGAAAAGAAAAAGGAAACACTGCGATCCTGACGAAGAAACGTGGTGATCGAAAAGCACAAGGGAACAATGAGAAAGATTGGAATGCAATTTTGTAACGAGTATAACTCGGGAAAAAGTTAGCTCGGGGCAGCGTGTCTAAACTGTGTGCGTTCGCCCCGGATTTTAAAGCTTCGCGTAATCTTGGCATCCGTAGTACTTGAACTTGACCATGATAATCACTTTCAGGATGCTCCGCTATTTGCATACTTGGAATATTTTCCAAACTCGATCTTAGTTTCCTCTGCTCTAGAAGAATAACGTGTATTCGTTATACGATTGCACGTGTCAATGTTCCGTTAAAAGAATCAAAAACGCGAGTTTTGATCGGAGCTGAGACCAAGCGAGACGAATTGAAATTCAAATCTCGACATCCTAGTTGCTTAAATTAAACGAAATGAAATAAAATGCGAGAGAGCACCGAGGGTTGATGAACTTCTTAAGTAATTTTTTACATATCACTTTTTAACGTTAGGATTGACGATGGAACGATGAGAATTTGCGATTAATATCTGTTACAGCCTACAGGATGTCACTCACCGTGAGGAAGACTGTTTCTATCACTGTGCGTTTGAATCCTTTTCTCGGCCCGTTCGACAATACGACTGTCCGCGTTACATGAAGCGATCGAAATGTTGGGGTGTAGGAAGGAACAGGATTAGAACGAGGGCACACGAGTTCCTTAAACACTGTTCATGTCACCACACCGGATGTCGTGGGGTCGAACACCTCCGTCCTCACAGGTGGATGTCCAGAGGTTGACTGTAGAATCGTAAGTAACCGCTCTCTGTGCTCTGGTAGAGCCGGGGGAAAAGAGGGGATGAGAGGAAGAATATCGGCCCCTATTTTACCTCGAAACCTTTTTTCTCTCATTGGAGAAAAAGCTTGAAGAAGGAAATGAAAGAGGGTAACTGAGCACGCCCCCCTTTTCCGCCGCGTTTCGCCAAAAACGTTTAACCACTTTTCCATTAGCAGTCGATGCTCCACGGGGTATCATTTTTGATATAAAAATATTATCAGCGATCATTTCAACGATTAGAAATATCACTGAAACAGGATGCGAGGGCATAAGGTCGAAATAAGAACGCAATCGATAGAAACACATTGTCTTTATAGTTGTTCCATGACAATGCATTGCAAAGTACACGTATCTTTAAATAAACGACGATGAAGTGCAACAGATTTTGTGTGCCCGAAATTATACGTATTGGTATTACTTTTTTATTCATCTGATTGCAATTCAATGTATTAAATCGTTTGTATGTCGCGTATATGTATTATATATATTATATAGATTCATATAAAGACTCTGTCGTTGGAAGAAATTTATAATTTTTATTCGAACATCACTTTGTAAACCGTTTTGCAACTCTTGCCGGATGAACACCGATATGCTCTCGACATCTTATTGCTAATTATAAAAACAGCAATGTCAAAACACATTTCTGTTTACAATTAAATGCTATATCACATCGAGAACATATCCGCGGAAAATCCTTTCTTAACAGGCTTCATAATAAAAGTGAGAATCATTGAAGCAACATCTTTCACCTAAGCTTTAATGACGACGTATGTAAATGACGTATGCCGATCTTCCTATTAATTCTAGGAACGATAAATTTATGAAATATGTTACATATTGCAAATAGACAACATTCATTAATTTTTAACACAATAGTTTGTCAATGTCGAAGTATCATCAATAATTTATACTACAGGTATTAAAATAAGTGATAGAGGTTTCTGTCGGACATAGTCGAATTGCAGTCTTATAGATACCAATTGTTAAAAAGAAACTACGTGGAAATGACTGACAGAATAAAAATTCGACAATTTTACGTAATAGTAAAGTTGTATACTATCCCACGTAATTTCGTAATAACCGAGTACAACGGTGTTAATGTCGTGACTTTAAAAATCCTAATCAAGTGCCTTAAAGTAAGCTTACAGGCGCTTAATTCTTGTATGCGTTTACTTAACTAAATATATATAAGCTAATAATATTAAAACATGTTCATTTATATTTTACAACAGCTTACTCAATCGTCAAACTTAATAGAATTGACGCTAGTATCTATTTGACCGCCGCGGTAGCTACCACGTTTTTTCTTCGTCTTTTCGTGACGAAATAACTTGCCTCTCGTGAACTTGAGGTCCTGATTCGCTTTCTCTCCCCAAGAACCACGAGCACCTCTCTGTTGAAAAAAAAAAATGATATTTTCACTTACCATGTTAACGACTATGTGGATACCGGACTATTTGGAACTAACTACCCCTCACCTTTATACATAAATCCTACCATCAATCGTCAAACGTTATCTTTTTGTTTTGTGTCGGTGTGTTTTCGAATGATCTTTTTCTATCAAAACCACCCCCCCTGCCGCCTCTAAATCCACCGCGACCGCCTCTTTCACCATCACCCCATGATTTCCTAACTCCGTCAAATTTACCCCCTTCGCTATCGTTTCCAGCCCATGACCTCCTGTTATCGAAACCACCTCTGAAATTTCCTCGACCTCCTCTGAAACCACCTCTACCTCCCCTATCACCTCCACCGCGACCACCTCTATCGCCACCACCACCGCGACCGCCCCTATCGCCGAAGCCGAAGCCGCCGCGACCTCCCCTATCACCACGACCTCCTCTATCACCGCCGCCGAAACCCCCCCTAAATCCACCACGACCAAAACCACCTCTGCCACCGCCACCGAATCCACCCCTTCCATCATGTTTCTTAAAACCACCCTCTTCCTGATCGTCTTCCTAGAACAAAAGGGAAACTCAGGTCAATCGCCGTATTTCTATATAGATCAAAACATATTTTTTTGAGCATTTTTCTTTTTTATTTCGATTTTTCCTTTAAAAAGTCTTTTTGTTAAAAAAAAAAAACAAACAACAACAACATTTAAAAGTAGTTGGCGAATACACGGAAAATCTACGGGAAATGCACGGAAACATGGTCTCAAGCTTTTACAACACGGCGAATGACCTGTGTTTTGCAAATGTTTCCAAGCATTTACCTTTGCTTCAAAAGAATTGTTTGCCAATTTGGGATCCAACGCTACATCTTCGTTCTTTACGCGACGAAATGGAGTATTTTTTGCTTGCTAAACATAAAATTTTATAAATAAAAATGTTCCTTTTCGTTTTAGACAAATACATTAAATATGATAATTATTACCTTATCACCATTGAAGCTACTGTTTGCCTTTACAAAATTACTGTAGTTATTTTTTTGAATTTTTGCAGCAGGTTTTTCTGTATCATCTTCATCCTGGCCTTGCTCTATTTCCTTGTGTTTCCTTTTTTCACGTTTAGATGCCTTTTGTGTTGGTAATTTCATTTGTTTTCCTTCACTAGAATCATTTTCCTCTAAATCTGATCCTTTTTTAACCGGAGTTGATTTTGCAGTAGATTTAGCAGTTTTTGGTTTTTCATCTTCCGATGAATCTGAATCAGAGTCTTCGCTAGATGATTCTTCTTTAGATGCAGCTTTTGTTGTTGGCTTTTTAAGTATAGGTGCTGGTGTCTTGACTGGCCCTTCGTTTTCAGACTCATCCGAATCCTCAGAACTGGACTCATTTTTCTTTGCTGCCAGTTTTGCTGCAGGTTTCATTCCTGGCTTTTCATTTTCATCCTCATCAGAATCATCGGAATCGTCACTAGAAGATTCTGCTTTCTTAGTTACAACAGTGTTAGTTGGTGTTACCAATTTAGCAGGTGCAGGTTTTTTGGTTGGTGGTTCTTCTTCACTGCTATCTTCACTGGAAGAAGACTCTTCCCTCTGAGCATGTACTTTTTTGGTAGCTGCTACTGTTGGTAGAAAAGCAGGTTTTTTGGCCGCTGTTTCTTCTTCACTACTATCTTCACTAGAGGACTCTTCCTTCTTGTCTGGAATTTTTTTCTTGGTTACCGGTGTTGGTGGATGAGCAGCCTTTTTTGCTTGTAATGCTTCTTCATCGCTACTTTCTTCGCTAGATGACTCTTCCTTTGTTACTGTGACTGTAGGCTTTGTTGGCAAACCTTTGTTTAGCTTTCCAGCTTTGGTTGCTTTCTTTTGGGCAGTAGGAGTTTCTGTTTCTTTCTTGTGCTGTCCAGCTTTTTCTTTTTTCTTTTCTTGGACAGGCTTAGAAACTTGCTTTGCAACTGGTATTATTGCAGGAGTTTGTGTCGAAGAATCATCAGAATCATCGCTCGAAGATTCCTGCTTTTTAACAACCTTAGCAGGGGTAGCAACTGGTTTAGCTTTAATTGGTGGCTGAGGTTTGACATTCTCTTCTTCTGAAGAGTCATCAGAATCATCACTGGAGGACTCTTCTTTCTTTTCTAATGTTTTTATTACAGGTGTGGTAGGTGTTGGCTTTTTTAATACTGGCTTAACTGGACTTTCTTCTTCATTTTCACTGCTGTCCTCGCTTGAAGATTCATTTTTACTAGTTTTAACTTTTGCTTGAGGTACAACAGTGGTTTTTGTACTAGTTTTTGCGGAAATATTTGCTTTAGATACTTCCTCACTATCTGAATCAGAATCATCCGAAGATTCCTGTGCCTTAGATACTTCCGTTGTTTTAGGCATTGATAATGCTTTTGATTGTATTTTGGAGGTTTCTTCTTCATCTTCCGAAGAGCTTTCATCTGAATCTTCTTTTTTCTTTACCGGTACAGCTTTGGATGGTACTTTGACAATATTTTTATTCTTTGCAGCTGCTTTTGGTGTTGGTTTTTCATCTTCGCTGGTGGTATCCTCTGAAGAAGCTTCATTCTGTTTATTTTTCGTTGTTGTATTAATCATAGCTTTACCATTTATTTGTGGGACCTTTTTGGGTGCTTCTTCCTCACTGTCTGAACTTGAATCTGAACTACTATCTTTAGCTTGTGCTTTTACATTTAACTTTCTTGGAGATGTCTTTTGAAAGTGTTGCAATACATCTTGTATCGTTGGTGCACCTTTTGGGAGTACAGGCTGAAAAGGAAATAGGCGAACATGAATGGAGGTCATATTATCTTTACGATTACGTGTTATTTTGTATTTTCTGCACAAATAACACATGAATAAAAATATTAATTAATTTGCACATAACGGCTAAAGGTGATGAAAGACAAATTTTATTGTAACATAAATTCGAAATGTAAAATAACGAAAATATCTTGCCCACGTGGTACGACCAAATGGCGGTACTTCTTGTACCGCATGGCCATTGGCAAGTTGAAAATCGATCAACTACTGTATATACGTAAAATCTTTTTATAACCTTACCGCTTTTGTTTTCTTTTGAAAAACCTTTGCTAGCGATGCGTCTTTTTTTAATAAATAGTCGTATACAAGGGCAGAGACACTCAGTTCTTCAGCGGATGCCATGATGGACGCGTGCAAAGATCTTGAAAAATTAGCTGCAATTGGATGCACGACAATCACACACTTTCCGTTCTCATGAGTATGGCGCTACAGTCGAGCATAAGTTACATCGCATGAAGATGCATTAGTCTCGTATAGTAACTTCCTACATTTATAGTACATTTTGGAACACATTATCCTGTTTCAATTTCTGATTGGAAATGAATTTGTTTCGATTAATTTAAACGTATTTTCGATTGTTCTATCATTTGTGTTTATTTAGTCAATTATTTATTTTTGCGATACAAAATTTTGAACATATTTCTTGTAATTTAATTGAATATATGTTCAATTATCTGTTTCAAATCATGTTAAATATCGGTTTATTTTACGAACATAGCCAAGGACTTACAAACTTTTCCACTATTTTCTGATTGGTGAAATATCAGTCAGTACACCGCTATTGGATATTTTTAAAATGATAAACCGGCTTTGTTGTAACCTGTAAAGTGTTAGTTATTTAAACGGAAATATACTTTATTTAATTACATTTCGCGGTAATTGTTTGAAAATTATGACAGAAACTCAGCAAAAAACAAAGTGTATTACGCTGAAAGGATCTGCAGAGCTGGTTAAAGAATATCTTCGTAAGCTGATAATTTTTACTCCATTTTTATATGCCATCATTGAACGTTAGTCCGAATTTTATCGCAATTCATTATCATATGTATTTTGTTTCTCTTCATCGTAGTTTATGGCGTTAATAGTATTTTGTACCAAAGAGGCATTTATCCGCCAGAAACGTTTGAACAAGCCGAACATTTTGGTTTATTTGTTTTAATGTCAACGGATGAAAAGATCAAAGCATTCTTGGATACTGTCCTTGGCCAGATTCAAGAATGGCTTATTCAACGAAAAGTACAAAAGATAACGCTTGTTATAACGAATGTGAATACCAAAGAAGTTTTAGAAAAGTGGGATTTCAAAGTGGATTATGATGGTCAAACATCTAATGCCAATAATGATAATGTAAATAATGGTCTTCCTGAAGTGGGTACAAAAGATGTGAAGATTATACAGAAAGAGATACGCGAAGTCATACGTCAGATCACAGGTAACTTGTCATATTTGTGAATTTTAAGGTCGTATATCAGAATAGTTTTTAATTAGTAAAGTGCTATAATTTGATCCATTGTTTCTGTTATGTTTCAGGTACAGTAAGCTTCCTTCCATTGTTGGATTGTATTTGCTCGTTTGACATTTTGACTTATACTGTTCCTGACTGTGGTATTCCTAGAGAATGGAATGAAACGCAACCAGTGTTTATCGCAAACAGTCAGGAAGTACAGTTAAGATCATTTTCAACTTCTATCCATAAGATGGAAACTATAGTTAGTTATAAGAATATTTAGGTTCACATGTTTTATCTTTGATAGTTGAAATTGTACAAACGAAACATACATTTACTTCGCTCTTTTAGCAATATTAAATGTCAAAGACTGGTATTCCAATTTCTATTTCCGCTATAAGTGGCCATATCGTTTTTAAAGGTAACATATGCGACGATTATTATTATTATCTACAAAGAATTTTATATGAATATATATTTTCACATAACTTTAGTAGTTGATCAACTCATTTCGCGAAAAGTCTCCGACTCCGATAGTCCTGATATTCTGGATTCCTGTTTCTTCTTCCTACCGTAAGGATACACATCCCAATTCCACATCTAGATATCGATATTCTAATTTGTGGTTAGGGAAAGAAACATAATTGACTATTACACTTAACACAGGAATTATATTATTTTACTTGGCAAAGCATGAAAGATACGACTAGAATAAAATATTTTTCGTGTTTGACGTTCGTCATATACCAAATCGCAAGTAACATCGTTAGCATTACATAAATATTCTTAAGTGTACAAGTGCTCCAAATTTATCGAATACTTCGTTCTGTTTCTTTCATTTTTCTTTTTCTTTTCGATGTCACGATTCACCGTTAAAGAATGTTACAGTAATACACGAATGTGGAAACGAAATCTCGAAACGGATAAATGCGGAACGAAAATACATTATTCGGGAGCACGTACACGTTGACTAGGCATCTCTCGTTAGGTGTAAGTAATTGCGGCGGATTCGAACCATATCTTTTTCGATGCGCTTTCAAACGAAATTCAATACAAATCTCGTGTCTCGCGTAAACTTTTCCTCCTTTCATTTTTACTTTTATTTCATTTCGCGATGTCGAATAATTGGTATTTTGGTCGTAACACTCTCGTTCTTGGTACCTATCGTACCCGACCTCTTCGATCGAGATCGAAGACCATGTTAGGAAACATCAACAGCGGCTTATGCTTCGTTAATACTTGCAGCGTTCGTTTCTCCTTTATGACAATTTCGCTATTAACTCGTTAGTACTTCGTGCTGCTAGAGTTAACCATACGATCCATAGTGCACTTTGTTCGCTATCAGACGATCGCGGAACGTAACGCGTTCCTTGCCACGCGTCGTACAAAACGAATCGTTTGATCGGCCCTCTTCTTCAAAACTAACATTACTTAACTTTCGAGAACAAGGCAAGCTTGCTTGCTTCCGCGTGCGCTCGCTCACGCGTTTCACGCTCATGATCACGTCCGATCATTTCGAGGGCGGACGGCACGTTCGTAATAATCTTTAATGCGCAAGCTGTACGCTGTTAAATCTCGCCTAGACTAGATTTGCTTCGGTTTCTCTGGTTAGTCTTACACACTGCAAAAGCTGCTGGAAATACGTTGAAGTTTATAAACATTCTAATTCGACTGATCCGCCGTCACTGAGAAATCCGAACTGTGACTGAAAACCTTCCTCGTTACTTTAAACCGTAGTTTGTCCGTTCTATCACTCGTAATGATCGCTAAGAGCTAGAAGAGCCGGGAATTGACAGATTCGTTTGGTCGTGACGAAAAGTAAGCACAGCACCGCGGATCAGAACGAGTCATGTTTCTATAACGTTGCGCGATAATCTTTCCGAGTATCGTCGAAACGCGTCTCCTAGTAAAAACATTGAAAAATAAATAACGCGAAATAATATACAATATTTTACAGTAGCGCTTAGTATTATCCGTGATAGGGCGATTCCCGCGGATCGGTAGCAGATATTCCATTGACTTCCGTAGGAATTAAAAAAAGAAAGAAAAGAAATAAAAGGGAAACGTTCCGGAAGTGGATTGGCCGCATTTCCGTTCGATGCGATCCTGGCACAGGATGATCTCGTTACGGGGCTGACGTTAACGATAATGATCGACGATCGTCTATCGGTAATTAACTATCATCGTCGTTGGTACAATCGTTCGCACGCGATCATCGTTCCGCGGCCCTGTTTCACTCGGCCGGCAAAATCGACGCGTTCATTTCTCAGCCCTCGTAAATACTGTGCAACGCTATGCACACCTCGAGTTCTCTCATTTATACACCTCTACTTAAGTTTACTTTGGACTAATCGCTATATTCGATTTACGATCGTTTTATGCGTAAAATATCATAAAATACATTCCTCTTTTGTTCGCTATGATTAGGCACGCCGTTCCGTTCCGGTGTCGACGCGCCTAGTGTTATCCTCTTGAATTTTATTTCGGTAAGAGCGGAGTGAAAAGAAATGTGGAATCTGCCAGACAGTAGCGTGACAACGATGTTCGAATAATCGTGACGGATTCGAAGATCGAGATTACGGGTGGGTCAGAATTTTGACACGGAGATTCGACACAGGACGAAACGGCGCGCCATCGATGACTCACGATGACTTTCATACAAATCGTTCGATAGGTACGAGCGACGAAATGAATTTGTAACGAAAAAGCACGGCGGCACTAGTAAGCTTGCACGGACATCATACGCTGCCACGACTTTCTTCTCTTCCCAAAAAGTCTCTGATATATCGCTAGAATGGCAATGTATTTCCTCTTCTCTCGCGAAAGAACGCTGGAACACTGTTCACTCGTTCGTTCGACAACTATCTATATGTAATCCTTTATAGCTCTAAAATGTAAAAAGTAAGCGTGCGTGTGTTGCCCGATCGATGGAAACGCGAAACACCCTCGCGATCGGTGCCAACTTTCGTCCCGGTAGCCTCGGCCAATGTCTCGAGGAACATTTCGCTCGTTACCCCTTCGTCTTCTTTTTCTCTTCTTAACGAGTAACTCGCCCGTCGTTATCGTCGTCTTTACCTTGATTATCAACGCGCCTTGTTTTCCACCCGCGTACTCCCGCTACTATTTTCTTTTTCTCTTGCCCTTTCCGCCGACGACCGTTTCGGCGAGGCCAATCGAGGCCGATATTACGATTCGACGACGGTGTGCAGCGAAAATGCAATTACTCGTTCGCTGTCGAGGCGTAACAATTCTTACGGCGATGCTTGCCGCGAGCTCCGTTAATTAAAGTGCCCGCCCGATTTCTCCAACCCCGGCGTAATAACGCGACCGCCCTTGTCGCAGACGGAAAAGTAGAGCCACAAACGAGCCCGGTCGACCAATTTCCACCCGGTTTCTCGATTTTTGCTTTTACCCAGCCGAGAATAAACCACCGGCTCGCGTTTCGATCGATCGGTACTCGACGTACACACCGCACGCGTACACACGCTGCTCAAAGGGGATACAAGGAATACTTTGTACAAGAGCGTCCTGGACGCGTCTGAACGTACGCTTCGACGAACCGTGTCGCTCGAAGGAGGACCGAGGAGCGTCTTTTCACGGCAACTTTGCTCCAGATTCGGAACACCTGGCCGTTCCTCGAGGCAGTGGTTCCCGTCGGTGAATCAATCGCGAGCCGTTCCCCGATGCTTTCCCGTTGATTTTGCAAACGAGGGAGACAGGTGTTCGGCGACGTTCGATGAAACTTCCATTCCACGGGATAAAAATGTTTCCGAAATTGCCCGAGCCCGCGTCAGTCCGCGCAATTACGTCTCTGCCTCGAAGACATCGGCTGCCGCGTAGGAAGACTCGTTGATCCCGGAAATCCTATTACAAGATCCGGGATCGGCCGTGTCGTGCCTTTCTTCCAGCAATCCCGTAAAACGAAATCGTCGCGTCCACGTGGTGTTCTAACGATCCGCACGTGCTTGCGGATAAGGTTTACGACGTCTTCCCCGTTTCTTTTTTCCTCACTGTCCCTTCCTTTACCTGTCGCGTTCTTTTGCTCGCTGCAAATCTCCCGAGCGACGAGACGTTCGAAAAAGAAAGGAAAACACGGATTTGCCGCTCGCTTTTAAGAAAGATTACAGGATATTCGATGATGCGGAAAACATCGAAAGATGATGTTACCTGTCACTCTCTCCCTCTCTCTCTCTCTCTCTCTCTCCCTCCCCCCCTCTCTCGATAATGATATACGAAAGAAAAATCGATACTCGTTCCCGTGTTCCGAGCTGCATTTTAATTTTCGATACGCGTGAATGATCGACGAGCGGAACGGTGATCTCGTGGGAGAAAATTAAAGCTGCTGGAACATGCCGTGCGAACCATTAGAGAAAGGGGAAAAAAATATAAAAAAGAAATAAATAAAACATATCTCGGCAAATACGGTTCACACTCGTGGGACTAAAATTTGATTTAGCAGCGATAGTTTTGCTCGTGTCGCTGGTTCGCGGGCAACGTTTCTCGCGTTTCTCGCATTTTCAATCGGAAAAACAACGGAAACACAGAAGGAGGGAAAACTCGTTGTTTTCGAACGTCGAATTCAGCTGCGATTCTTTTTTCGTCCGTGAACACGGTGTTTCCATCCGATGGCGACTCTTGTTCTTCGAGATCCTCCGTTCCTCGTGCTTGCTATTGGACGATGTCGAACCACTCGACGATGCTCTGCAACGAAAAAGAAATTTCGATCGATTAAAAGGAGTTTCCCCTCGGTGTGTATTCAAGTCGCGAGTCGGCAGAGCCGGGCCGGCCTCCATTGCCGCGATATTCTACGGCTGCAATTTAAAGGGCGCCATGGCGGACAAGGTAAACCGGGGCTCAAAGAAATTAAGCTGGAAGCTAAATTAGCGGTTTTACGGTGATCTTGCCGCGTCTGCGGGTCAATCAAATATTCAACAGTTAAAACGAAACTACCAGGTAGCCGGCGTTGATTCATTTATCCTGGCAAGTCCTCCGGCAATTTCTCATTTCGAACGAAACGGAAGGCGAGCTCCTCTGTTTTCCCCGGAACTTTCTTCTCTTCCGTGGTGTTGTTTCCACGCGGCTGTTACTCCGTAGCCCTTCTCCTTTGTACCATGGACGAAGCATCGTTCAGAAGGATCCTCTGTGCAACCCTCTTTCTTCCTTCGCCCACCCTATTTGCCCCCTACCCTCGTTCCCGCGCGTAGATTCATCTTTATCTCGACGCGGCTCACCCTCGTGGATATTCGGTATAACAGAACGTCACTGCTGCCTCTCCTTTCTGCC